ATTTAAAAAATAGAAATGAAAGTTTTCATGAGATATGTCATGTCCCCATACATTTTGTTATTACAATGTAGGAGACTGGATTAGCCTCTGATTTGCTAGTGAGACTGAATTACTGTATCACAAAATGATGCATGTCTAAAAGGTGTGTCACTGACATGAAATGTCTGGAAAGCTCTGTTTGAGGAGGGTCAACCAAGCTTGGACACAACAAGTAAAACCTAGAATACTTTCACAAGGGGCTTAAATTATGAGGGTTGTCTCTTTGCTACGCCTAGAACCTAGGGAATTTTCACAAGGGTCTAAACTACTAGGATTGTCTCCTTACAATGCCTAGAACCTAGGATATATATTCACAATGGCTAAACTACTACGGTTGTCTCTTGGCAATGCCTGGAACCTAGGATACATTCACAAGGGGCTGAACTACTAGGGTTTTCTCCTTGCATTGCCTAGAACCTGGGATATTTTTCACAAGGGGCTAAACGACTAGGGTTGGCTTCGTGCAATGCCTAGAACCTGGGATATTGTTCACAAGGGACTAAACTACTAGGGTTGTCTGCTTGCAATGCCTAGAACCTGGGGTATTTTTACAAGGGGCTGAATGGCTAGGATTGTTTTCTGGAAATGTATAGAACCTAGGCCATTTTCCCAAGGGGCTAAACTACTAGGGTTATCTCCTTGCAATGCCTAGAACCTGGGATATTTTCACAAGTGGCTGAACAACTAAATTTCTCTCCTTGCAGTGCCTAGAACCTAGGATATTTTCCCAAGGGGCTAAGCTACGAGGGTTCTCCATGGCAATACATAGAACCTATGATATTTTCACAAGGGACGAAATGACCAGGGTTGACTCCTTGCAATGCCTAGAACCTGGGATATTTTCGCAAGGGACTAAACTACTAGGGTTGTATGCTTGCAATGCCTAGAACCTGGGATATTTTCACAAGGGACTAAACTACTAGGGCTGTCTTCTTGCAATGCCTAGAACCTGGGATATTTTCACAAGTGGCTGAACAACTAAATTTCTCTCCTTGCAGTGCCTAGAACCTAGGATATTTTCCCAAGGGGCTAAGCTACGAGGGTTCTCCATGGCAATACATAGAACCTATGATATTTTCACAAGGGACGAAATGACCAGGGTTGACTCCTTGCAATGCCTAGAACCTGGGATATTTTCGCAAGGGACTAAACTACTAGGGTTGTATGCTTGCAATGCCTAGAACCTGGGATATTTTCACAAGGGACTAAACTACTAGGGCTGTCTTCTTGCAATGCCTAGAACCTGGGATATTTTTCACAAGTGGCTGAACAACTAAATTTCTCTCCTTGCAGTGCCTAGAACCTAGGATATTTTCCCAAGGGGCTAAGCTACGAGGGTTCTCCATGGCAATACATAGAACCTATGATATTTTCACAAGGGACGAAATGACCAGGGTTGACTCCTTGCAATGCCTAGAACCTGGGATATTTTCGCAAGGGACTAAACTACTAGGGTTGTATGCTTGCAATGCCTAGAACCTGGGATATTTTCACAAGGGACTAAACTACTAGGGCTGTCTTCTTGCAATGCCTAGAACCTGGGATATTTTTCACAAGTGGCTGAACTACTAGGATTGTCTCCTGTCAATGTCTAGAACCTGCGGTATTTTCTCAAGGAGGGTTGTGTGTTGGCAATGCGTAGAACCTATGATCTTTTCCCAAGGGGGGCTAAACGACTAGGGCTGCCTCCTTGCAGTGCCTACACAAACGTCACGAGAAGGCAATGCGCTTTGCTTTTGGAGGGCGGTGGGGCCTTGCTCTGCTGGAGGCGCCCCTTCTCCCTCCCTCCCTCCGCCCGTCCTGCAGGGGCAGGTGCCTCAGAGCCGGCTTCGTCTCGCTTCGCCTCCCGGCCTTGGGCTGCCGCTGCTCCTGCGCATTGGAGCCAAGGAGACCTGAAGAGCTGCGCTGCTGGGAGGAGGCGGAGCGCGGAGGCTGGAGAAAGAGCGGGGAGGAAAAAGAGAGAGAGAAAGGAGGAAGAGGGGAGGGAAAAAAAGAGAGAAAAGACGGGGCACATTCCCCTCCTCCTCCTCGTCCTTCCCCGGCTTTCCCGCAGCACCGGCACAGCCCTGAGCGCGGCGTCTCTGTGCGCACAAGTGCTGCAAGCTGCGCCTGCCTGCTTCCTCGCTCCCTCCCTCCCTCGCTCCTTCCGTCTCGCGGCGTGGGTTCCTTTGTGTCCTTTGCCCCTTTCCGGAGGGCCAGCCAGGAGCGCAGCGAGGGCTGCCGGGGCCCGGAGGAGAGGCCGGCGGTGAGTGCGGGCTTGGTGCGCGTGTGTGTGGGGGCGCCTCTCTCTGCGCGCGCCGCTCGGAGCCGGGCGGGATTATTCTTCCAGGCGGAGGTCTTGCAGCCTTGGGAAGGAAGCTGCCTCTTGGCCGGCTAATCCCGAGCTGGGCTAATTAATCATTCCCTCCGAGGATGGCTTGGTGTCCGTCGTCGCTGAGATCCTCTCCCTTGGAAAGGATGAGGCACGGGCTGCGGGCCTGGCGGGGAAGGCAAGCTGCCATCCTCAGCCTTGCCGCAGCAAGTCCACTGGAGTGAGTCCGCTTTAGGGCTCTCTGGGCAGCACCGGGTGCGGAACCATCGCGGGACTGGGTTGCCCGGACAACCCAAAAGAGCGGGTTTGAGATCGCCTTGGGCTTGAGAGAGCCCCAGTGGATTTCATCCCCCAACGGATCAGGAAGACTTTGGCCTTGGTTTCCTCTCTTGCAAGTGCTGAAATTGGGCAACCTTGAAAACCAGAAGCCCTTCCACACAGCCCTCTGTCCCATGATACCAAGGCAGAAAACCCCACAATATCTGCTTTGAACTGGGTTATCTGAGGGCCCTTCCACACAGACATATAACTCAGGATATCAAGGCAGAAAACCCCACAATATCTGCTTTGAACTGGGTTATATGAAGGCCCTTCCAAAAAGACATATAACCCAGAATATCAAGGCAGAAAATCCCACAATATCTGCTTTGAAGTTATCTGAATCCACACTGCCATATATTCCAGTTCAAAGCAGATAATGTGGGATTTTATTCAGCTGCGTGCAAAGGGCCTGAGTCCGCACTCAGATAATGTGGGATTTCCTGCCTTGATATTTAGGTCTCTCGGCCTTCCCAACAAGGGGAGACTCCAGCTCCCATCATCCCTCTGTTGGGACTCAGAATGCAAGAATAATTTTGGATAAAACGGTAGTAAAGGGCAGTGGGTTAAACTGCTGAGCTTGTTGACCGAAAGGTCGCAGGTTCAAATCTGGGAGCGGCGTGAGCTTCTGCTGTCATCCTCAGCTTCTGCAAACCTAGTAGTTCAAAAACATGCAAATGTGAGTAGATCAATAGGTACTGCTCCAGCAGGAAGGTAACAGTGCTCCATGCAGTCATGCTCAGAGGATGCTTGCCAAAGATGCAGGTGAAACATCAGGAAAGAATGCTTCTAGAACATGGCCATGTAGCTCGAAAAACCAACGACAACCCTTGAATTATGTTATTGCTGTTGGTTTTGATGCTTGTTTTATATTTTGTATAATGTTGTTTTATGTTATTTAAGTGTTGTGATGTACTCTAATGTGCTATGTTTTAACTCTGTTATTTGGGTTGGCCCCATGTAAGCCGCCCTGAGTCCCTTTGGGGAGATGAAGGCAGGGTATAATAATAATAATAATAATAATAATAATAATAATAATAATAATAATAATAATTTGAAACACAACAAGATGAGTCCACAGCAGACAATATCACTTTGCTGGCTGTTGTGTTGGATCACACGTCGGACACTTCCCAAGTGTCTAGGACTGTGTGACGTATTGTCGAATAATGTGTGCACATCCCAGTCAGGTGGCCTTCTGCAGCTGGCAGATGGTAATTTTATCAGCGCCAATTGTGTTTAAGTGCAGGCCAAGGTCTTTAGGCACTGCACCCAGTGTGCCAATCACCCCTGGGACCACCTTGACTGGCTTGTGCCAGAGTCTTTGCAGTTCAATCTTTAAATCCTCATATCGTGTCAGCTTTTCCAGTTGTTTCTCTTCAATCCTGCTGTGCCTGGGATTGCAACATCGGCGACCCATACTTTATTATTATTATTATTACTATTATCATTATCATATCTGGAGGGTCACATGGCTTTTCTACCTGTGTTGTAAATAAATACAGGTTGGGGATCTGCTTCTTGTCTGCTGCCCTGGAGACTAGGATGAAGAACAATGGCTTCAAACTACAGGAAAGGAGATTCCACCTGAACATTAGGAAGAACTTCCTAACTGTGAGAGCTGTTCAGCAGTGGAACTCTCTGCTCCAGAGTGTGGTGGACGCTCCGTCTTTGGAGGCTTTTAAACAGAGGCTGAATGGCCATCTGTCAGGAGTACTTTGAATGAGGTTTTCCTGCTTCTTGCCAGGGGGTTGGACTGGATGACCCATGAGGTCTCTTCCAACTCAAGGATTCTATGATTCTATATGACATGCTTGGGATCAGAAGTGTTTTGGATTTGGGATTTCTTCCCTGGATTTTGGAATTTGTGTTTGTGTATATGTATGTAATCAATATCTTGGAGATGGGATCCAAGGTGAAGGTTAATACAGATTTTGTAGCATTTTTTCCTGATGGGGATGCCTAACTTATATTTGTAGAAGTACATTGTTTTAGTTTTCTCTAAAATTAACACCCAGTGGAAAGGGAAAATAATGTTGTTGTTGTTGTTGTGTGCCATCATGTCTTTTCTGGCATATGATGACTCTAAGGTGAGCCTGTTTCAGGCTTTTCTATGCAAGATTTGAGCAGAGAGGGTTTGCTATTGTCTCCGTCTGAGAAAGTGTGGTGTGTTCACCGAGTGTGTATTCATGGACAGGTGGGAATTCAAACCATGGTCTCCAGGAGCATTGTCCAAGGCTACGTCACATTGGTTCTTATAGAAATAGTGCCTGTGTTTTTAATAGGAGTGGAAAAGGGGACGTCGTGGCTGCTGAGGCAGAGAAAAGTGGAACAGTGCTGACATTGCGTCTTTTCCCCTTTCTGCACATTTCCTCAAAGAGTCTGCTGCTCTTTAGTGTTTGGCCCTGTTGTCCATGACCCCTGGCATCTCTGGCAAATCAACATATAGGTAAGTCCAGTTCATTCAATGTCTTGACTGTAGTTGGGACTAATGATAGGATTTAGCCCTCTGTCTGGAAACAAGATTTTGCTATGCCAAGCATAGAGGTTTCCTACTACCCCAAAGGTACTGATGTCGTCTGATGTTGGAAAATGAGCAGGGTTGAGTCTGGTTAATACGTGGATGGGAGATGATAAGCTTGATCTCCTGGTGGAACTAAGGCCCCTTCCACACTGTCCCTATATCCCAGGATCTGATCCCAGATTATCTGGCAGTGGAGACTCGTATAATCCAGTTTAAAGCTGACAATCTGGGATTAGATCCTGGAATATAGGGCAGTGTAGAAGAGGCCTAAGAGATAATCCTGCTTGAAATTCTGGAGAGCTGTTGCTAATGCATGTCTAGATAGACTATTGATATGTTCCTAAGGCAGTTTCTTAGGTTCTTCTGTATAATTTTTTGGAGAGACAGTTCTTTTTATTAGAGTATTGCATGTTTTGTTGCGGTGGTGAGCTTTAACAGGATGTTGTTTGAGAAACAGACTTTCCATGAATATTTAAAAGAGAACCAGAGTGGTATATTGGTTTGAATGTTGAACTGGGACTCTGGGGAATCAGGGCTTGTATCCCGCTCACACATGGAAAGCATCCGTTGGGTGACCTTGGGCAAGTCATATTCTCACAGTCCCTGAGGAAGACAGTAGTAGCAGCTCCCTTCTGAACAAAATGTGCCAGGAAAACCCTTTGATAAGTTTTCTCTAGGGTTGCCATAAATTTGAAATGACTCGAAAGAACACAACAAACTTCTTGTGTCCTGTATTTCTAAAAACCACTTTGTTTATTGTTCAGTTTTTTTCCACTGTGGCTGTCCAGTGCAACGTGTAAGAAATTTTATCCAGACCTCTTGGTTTCAGCAAGCAGCCAGCTTCTGAACTTTCAGGTTGTGTTCTGATACACATTGTTTATGCTTTTCTTTCTTTTTAGTTCCTTTTTTGATACAGATTTGTTACTTTTTCCTTTCTGCTCCCAAAGCTGAAGTATAACATAATTTATAGACTTTTTCTACAGACTCAAATATGCTATAAATCTAATTGAACGTTTACCAATACTGTTTATTGAGAAACATGCTTTCAGGTGTAACTGTGAGAGCTGTTCAACAGTGGAACTTTCTGCCTCTGAGTGTGGTAGATACTCCTTTTTTGGAGGCTTTTAAACAGAGGCTGGATGGCCATCTGTCGGGGGTACTTTGAATGTGATTTTCTTGCTTCTTGGCAGGGGCTTGGACTGGATGGTCCAAGAAGTCTCTTCCAACTCTATGAATCTATGATTCTATGGTGAACTGTTCTGAGAATAATAATAATAATAATAACAATTCTATTTTTATACCCCGCCTCCATCTCCCCAAAGGGACTCGGGGCACCTTACATGGGGGCAAACCCAACAGAACAGTTAAAACATAACACATTAAATGCATTTAAACAAAATCATAACAAAAATAATATAACAAAATAAAACAACAACATAGAATCATAGAATCAAAGAGTTGGAAGAGACCTCATGGGCCATCCAGTCCAACCCCCTGCCAAGAAGCAGGAATATTGCATTCAAATCATCCCTGACAGATGGCCATCCAGCCACTGTGTAAACATTAAACAGTATATAAAATGAACATCAAACCAACAACCAAGAGCAAAGTTCAATGTCTAATCGTGGGTGGGCGGACTTGTGCCACAGATATAGTCACAGCTACTGTAGTTTCCACACTGATTTTGTAATTATCTGGCAGTGGATCTGAACAACAACATCTCTTGGTGATGCAGGAATGACCCAGAGACTTTTCTCAGGAAGGCTTCAGCTGTGTTCAGGAGTGCTTTCATTGTTGTGTGTTAGACTAGATAGCCCGATGAACTAGAAAGTTCTTGTAGTTCCTTCTTCTTTTGTGATCCTGTGGGTTTATGAACGTGAGCTTCTGACCCTGATGGTTTAGAAGGGGAAGAACACCAGTTGTGAATGACTTTATCTTGTACCTTTTTCATGTCCTATAACCCAACAATAATTAAGCCACATGATGTGTGTTCTTCCCATCTCATTACAGTTTTGTAAAAGAGTCCACATAATAAACCTCACCCCATTTCCCTTGCCAGCAACAAAACAGTCTGGCCTATCAACCTCACGGAGATGGCAACTCTTTCCCCCTCCTGGCGTGGGATCTGTGTTTCAACAAATGTGTTATTAAGTTAAGACATAACTTTCCGCACCATGTGCTGTTTGCTTAACTCTCATCTTTAGAGGACACAGGAGCCCTGCCAAAAGAACATGACAATTCTGGAAAGAGTTTCTAAATTATTTATGGATTTGTATTAAGAATATTAAAGTTGAAGTACTTTGGCCACATCATGAGGAGACAGCAAAGCCTAGAGAAGACAATTATGCTGGGGAAGGTGGAAGGTAAAAGGAAGAGGGGCCGACCAAGGGCAAGATGGATGGATGGCATCCTTGAAGTGACTGGACTGACCTTGACGGAGCTGGAGGTGGTGACGGCCGACAGGGAGCTCTGGCGTGGGCTGGTCCATGAGGTCACGAAGAGTCGGAGACGACTGAACGAATGAACAACAACAACATTAAGAATATATGAACAGCTCTATTGCATTAGACCAAGGGCTTGTCGGGCTCGATATTCTTCTTTCACAGTGGCTAATTAGAAGCCTATGGAAATCCACACATAAATGCAACTGCTTTCTTCTATCTGATTTCCCCATCAATTGAAATTGATACTCCTACATCTTGGCGTGGGGTTGGACTGGATGGCCCACGAGGTCTCTTCCAACTCTATGATTCTATGATATTGGGGGATGATCACAATTAGCATCCATCATAAAATGCATACCATTTTCATGCTATCTAAGTTGATGGCTATAATGACTTTATGGCATAGAGAATTCTCTAGTTGTGTGTAATGCCAATAAGTACTTTTCTCTGTCTGAATTTTCCACCGTTTGGCTTCAATGGATGGCCCTGGATTTTACCATGATGAAAAAAGGAGACATTTTCTCCAGATCTCCTTTTTTATACTGTACATGCCTCTCTTTATTTGACCTTTTTCTAAACCAATCTGTTCATCAAATAGTGTAAACATTAATCACAGTGGACTTGGTGTATCTTAGTAGGATTGTATATAGAATTGTATTAGTAACCATTTGATACTTACTATTAATTTAGAAAAGTTTAAGTTGTGGCATCATTGTTGTTATTTAATTTGATTTTATGGCTGGGGATAAAAACATGATTATTTTCAGTTAAAGATTAGCTATTGTTTCCATTAAAGTACCTAATTCTTGCATTGCACTCCTATTTTGCACACTAGCAGTGTGCCAAATACGTTGACCTAGAAGTAGGTCCCAATGTGGACTTTACTTTCTATAATATGTGTTCAGACGTGCAACTTCACTGGCTTCAGCAGGCAGGTTTCCAAATGCCTAAAAGAAAAAAAAGTTTGTTGAGGAAGTATAATAAACTTGCTTACATGGACCCTTGAAGGACCCCAAACCTTGGGTTGGAAGTGCTGAAAGTCCCTGGAATTACCTAGCAAAGTTGGAGCACTATGTCACCAATGCAGTTGAGCCTCCTCAGGCGTTATTCCCCATAAGTGTGCTAAATCGATCATTTAGCTAAGTTACTAAGTCCTTCCAGGAATAATAAAAGCTGATTGTAATCTGTCCTGTGCCCACTTATTTCGGAGTGAGCCACACTGAACACGTGGAGAGGATTTCTCAATAAGTCTTAGCCTGTTTAAGGATGTTTGAATGCGTGGAAAACAAGCAGGCAAAAGTTTCAAGCTCCCACCTTAAAAACAGTTCTGTGGATTATGGCACAGTTTTCTACTTCTGTCCTTTCTTCTCAAACCTAATTTTGTTTGCATTCTGCTGTTATTAGCTTCATTTACAGTAACTCTTCTCACCCTGTTTTCAAAGCTGTCTTGATGGTTTGTCTACTAGTGCAGTTATGGTCGGCAATGGGAAACAAGGTATAGAGTTAAAATACAATATTCCAATCCTCTCCCTAATTTTATGGGTATCTGTTATATAATTCAATTATAACTGATGAGATTTACGTTGCTTTGTGCCTTTTCCCTTTTAGTCTGGGGTAATTCAGACTAGGAGCCCCCGGTGGCGCAGTGTGTTAAAGCACTGAGCTGCTGAGCTTGTTGATCGAAAGGTCGCAGGTTCGATTCCGGGGAGCGGCGTGAGCGTCCGCTATCAGCCCTAGCTTCTGCCAACCTAGCAGTTCCAAAACATGCAAATGTGAGTAGATCAATAGGTACCGCTCCGGCGGGAAGGTAACGGCGCTCCATGCAGTCATGCCGGCCACATGACCTGGGAGGGGTCTACGGACAACGCTGGCTCTTCGGCTTAGAAATGGAGATGAGCACCACACCTCAGAGTCAGACATGACTGGACTTAATGTCAGGGGACTACCTTTACCTTTACCTAATTCAGACTAATACATAAGACTGGAAAAGTTACTATGCAATTTTTCACTAGCCTGCAATTTTTCACTAGCCTAGTAGTACATGTGTTCATGTGAAGCAAGGGTTTCCTCTTTTTTATAGTCAGACTACTGACCTCTTATGGGTATAGTGGGGGAAAGGATGATTTTGGCCAATAATCCACCATCTTTAGCAGTCTCCTCACTCCTGTGCATGGGATGCCTGTTCTTCTGAATTTACTAAAAGTGTTATTAAAAACAAGCCAAACATGTGATGTGATATTATCTTGTACTATTTTCAGCCCCTATTGCCCACAGACTCTGAAGTGTCATAAAGCTAGAGCAGCAAACATTGCAGCAATGTCATGGTGGTCATAAGGAAGATGGTATAACTCAAGGGAACAAGGTTGTTTTTTTTAGGCTCCAGAAACTAGGACACAGAGCAGTGGATTAAATGTGGAGCAATGAATTTAAACTACAGGAAAAGAAATCCCACCTAAACATTAGGTCCTGATGGTAAGAGCT